AAAAAAAAAAAAAAAAAAAAAAAAAAAAAAACAGAAAGAGTCTAGTTCAAGTGAGATAAGAAGAGTGAACGTTAAACTGACAGACAGACAGACAGAGGGCGCCCTCACCGGTGTCCTCCACATCCGGGTCCATGAGGTTCCAGCGGTCAGCTCGGGAGTCGTACACCTCGATGGCTTTGGTCGGACTTCCCCCGCTCCACCCTCCAATAACAAACAACAACTGGAACAAACAACGGACACGAAGGTCACTTTTTACTTAATATTATAAAAAAAAAATAATTTCATGTCTGTACCCAGTACTTTTAAGCAGTAATACATTTCATCAATTTCTATTTTTTTAAATTGAAACGACAATAGGCCCGGGCTAGAATCGCTTTTTGAAACACAGATCTGGAAACTATACAATTACCTCGGCACCCTTAAGATGTTTCCATTGTGAAAAATATACATGTATATCATACAGAGACAACACGAGAACTAATAATTTTTGTGACCCAATTTTGAATAAACCAAGATCGTTCACAGTACCTCATGGGGAAGTCTAGGTCGCATTAGGGGGTTTCCTATAGCCAGGTTCATAGCGTTCGTCATCTCAAAATCATGCATCAGCGCCAGAGTCTGTATAATAATAGGTTTACAGTCCGGGTTGCCCACCACGAACTCGTTGGTCTTTACATGACGCATGAAATACTCTGTCCCTATCAGACCTGGAAGTATTAAAAGGCAGTTTAATTAGCATCAATTACCTCTACCTTTATTTATATATGTATTCATTTATTCATTAAAATGAAAAGACAAAAAAGACAATTAAACCATTGATTGATACCAGAACGAATGAAAAAGAAAAAAAAACTCACCTAAACGAAGAGATTTTAAGATGTCGACGATGTATTCTTTCCTTTCCTCAGGCTTTATGGATATCCATCTTATAGCTGCTTCATAGGCAAACCTCTCATCTCTGACGTTGAGGTCGTCCGAATTGAGCAAACTCAACAGCTCATCCGGAGCCAACATCAAAATCTCGTTACTCACCGCCGAGATCTCGCCAAAATTCCTGAGAATGAACTTGAGCGTCATGTGCTCCAAGTAGGTGCAGAAATAGGCTTTGGCAAACTGCCAGATTCCCAGGCAGTTCTCGATGCTCAGATGGTGCAGGAGGAACTTGGAGCATGCCTTGACGAGGCCCAGGATGTGGAACTGGTCAGCCACCGGGAGGAGATGTTCCACGTTATCCTCTGTGATGTGCACCTGGCGGGAAGAGAAACATATTTCCAATAAGAATTTTATCCTTTAACTAGGGGAAAGAATAGAAAGAGGTCTTCTTTATGTACCCCCCCCCCCTCAAAAAATATTTATTTCCAACACGTCTAAAATAAACACGTGTGCATTAGATGTTCTAGTCATCTACATGTATATGTTTTGTTAGACAGAATTTGAATCAAAAGTTTGTGTCTATTTGTATACAAAATTTTTTATTTGTTTTTAAAGCAACCAATAAATACATTACCTGTCGGCTGTAAGCATACTGAATGATCAGCTCCATATCGGCTGCAGAAACGTTCGGGATAATGATTTCTGACTTAAAAGACTCCGAGAGATCGTTGCTGAACAGAGCGCGGAAGTATGGGCTACACCCGGACATGATGATACGGTGGACGTGGAAATCTCGTCCGTCGCACTTAATGGTGACGTCACAGAGAGCCCCAGATTCTCGGAGATCATTGAAAACATCACAAGCTTGTTTACTTATTCTGCGTTTTATTATATCTCGCTCGGAGTCGGCTGGAACATATATAAGTATTTTTACATATTTAATCATTTTAAGTATATTTTTACAACTAACGGCAATACAATGATATAATTGTGAAAAACGTGTGGATCATTTCTTTATTATTAAATTACAGACTTTATTCCATGTTGTGCGGAAGGAGACTTACACGGCAGAAGGTTATGGATGTCTTTGTTTAGTTATGGTTGTTTTATAATACACTATCAAATTAAATACCTATATGAACGCAAAAATATGTGAGTTAGGTATCAATCTAAAAGTATTCGTTAAACTCAGCATGGTATTACTGTAGGACTCGCAGTGATCTTCAAGTTCAAATATATCAAATGTTAATAGAATAACTAGTATCGGTAATGGTGTAACTCAATTTTTATTTATTTCGAAATACAGAAAAAAAGAAAACATTCAACTGTTTTACATCAAGCACACGTCCAGCAAGAATAGTTTATTACAATCCATACCTCCTTTAATCCCCGTACAGTCCATGCTGTCATCATTGTTTTCCATAGTGAAGTTCAATCACCAGCTCCTTGTTTGTTGTTACCTTGATTCTGCAGAACTGTGGGCTTTTATGGCGTAATTTTCCTTTATGACGCATTTGTTTTTCTATGACGTTTGAAACGTCATGTCTATATGACGCCATAACGTCACAATGTATTTCCAGACGTTGACGTTGTGATAACGTTCTGGGTCTGGACAGCGTATTTGAAAACAGCGTGCTAAAAAGTCATGAATGAAGATTTTGTATAGACGGAAATATTTCAAACTTGGTGTTTGCTTTTATTCATGGACAACGTGTAACGTGACAGAGTCCCCCATAACAGAGAGTCCGCTTCCCTTTCATTTGTACAGGTGAGCCTCGCCCTAGATTTTGACCTACTTAGGTCAGACTAACCCTAACCATTATCACTATATGGAGAGCGGACTCTCTGTTAGGCCCCTATTTCACACAGACCACGAATCTCACGAATCGCCAGGAATTGACAAATTTCAGGATTCGTGAGATTTTGCCAATTTTCTGGTCTATTTCGACACGCTCTACGATTCAGTTACGATACAGGTGCGATAGTGTTACGAATATTCGTGAGATTCGGCTGGGATCGCACTACGATTTTTTGGAATCGGGAGTTCGTGGCCAAAACTTTGAACAGCTCAAAATTTTTGCCACGAATTCCCGATTGATCAAGAATTGCAAGAACTGACTACGATTATATACGAATCTGTTAAGAACTTCACGAACTGATTACGATTCAACCACGAATCCTGAAATTTTCAATTCCTGGCCATTCGTGGGATTCGTGGTCTGTGTGAAATAGGGGCATCAAAGTTTTTGCTACCAATTCCTGTTGGTCATGAAGTGCAAGAACTGACTACGAATATATACGAATCTGTTAAGAACTTCACGAACTGATAACGATTCAACCACGAATCGTGATATTTGTCAATTCATGGCCATTCGTGGGATTCGTGGTCTATGTGAAATAGGGGCATTACACGGACCCTCAGTTTCGTTACACCGGGTGTGTGCTTCACCTATCATGCTATAAACATGCGTAGTGGCCGTGGGGAAGCAATAAGGAGCTTACCACAAGTTTTTCTTTTTATTTTAGCCACGTCAGTCATAAGAGTAGGAAGTCTCTGTCTTCATACATCCCTTCTGTATACAGTGGGGAAGCGTAGAACAGAGACCAGTGAGAGGAAACGGGGTAGGGGGTCTGCTACAGTATATTCTCTCACTGGGCACTATTCTTCGCACTGTTAATTTGTTTAATAATGCCCGGAGCGACTTCACAGTCGACATTATAATAGCAACGACTAGTGAAAACAAACAAGGATGTCCTGCTGTCGACAGAATTTATTCACTTGTTCCAAAACAGTACCTCAGTGATAATAAAAATAATAAAAGCAATTAACGTCTTCCGGACTCATTTGATTTTAGTTTTAAGACATCAATTTGTTTATTAAAACCAGCAAAATCGCATTTCTGTCTTTCTTAGTGCATTCTATATACACCATGTACCTGTTAAAACTTTTCACATGAAAAATGAAAAAAAAAAAAAAAAAAAAAAGAAAAGAGATCAACTCTTTGCATACTTAGTCCAAAACGAATTCCATAGTTAAAATCAATAAATGAAATAAGCATCGGCCAATGATAAAATACATGTTGATCTGCAATTAATAAAAAATGCGTTATTTAATTGATAAAATCAATTATATCATTTGACCTTATTTGTATTTACGCTTACTCATACACGTAACTAATTCATTCACTGTATAACTTCGGCACTATTTTATTATTTATATACAACAAATATAGTGCAAGGTAGTTGTCAGGTGTGTTCATTACCTTCTATCAGTGATATTGATCACAATTCAAACATCATCGCAGTGTCAAATCATATGTCATTTCTAATTTATATACTTATACGTGGATATTATTCCACTCGTTATTCCAACAACAAGCTCCCCGTTACTGTTGACATCGACTGACACAGGAAGGTCAATTTTGTTTCTCTTTGTCAAAATGTTCCGTAGAAATCTTCCGTCTGAACCAAGGACAACCACCCTGTGATTACTGTAGTCAGCTATGAAAATGTGCCCAAACGTATCTACGCACACTCCATCTGGATACCTTAGTTGTCCGTCTCCACTTCCACTCTGACCTCGTGTTCCGTATTGGAACATGACGTCACCCTGGGGTGTCACTGCATACACACAGTGGGCACTGTGACCGTTGACTATGATTGTATTGATGCCGTGGTGGTATGCACATCGCAGTGTGCCTTTACTACACATTGCGATAGAAATTCTGTTCATAAATTGAAAAGATATCATGTCGTACACACAGATGCACTGTGCACCACTATCACACACGTACACCTTACCCTCTGTACGGTCTACAGTGACACCATAGGGTTTAAACATATCACCCTGACCAAAATATCGGATAACCTGACCTGATGTTGAATACAGTCTACAGCATTTATCTCTGCATGTGACCACGAATGTATCGTTACTGACTGTACTGATACACCACGCTCCTCCCTTTATTCTGATCTCACGATTACCTTGACCTGTGCTGGAGAATACGGACACCGTGTCACGAAACTCACCATGTACATGTACTAATAAAGTGCTCCCGTCATCTGTGCACTGGATATCCCGCACCCAACCGTCAACATTAAAACAAATACCCCGCTCTGGTGTTTCAAGCCATGTGAATGTTTGAACCCCCATCAACTCGGGACAGTACGCTCTCTTTTGTATCAAATTCCCAAAATACGTATCCAAGTGACCCGGTATCTTTTGGCCGTAATGGACCCTGTTTTGAAGGACAGCTTTGGTTCAGGGATTTTAGGAAACTGCAACACAACGTCCACTTGAGTTTGTCCTGGTGTAAATGTTATGTCGGTGATCTCGGTATCAAAGACTGGTACTACTGTTTCTAACTCCTCCATTCTAGTTTGGAGTTTTTTAGAGTGGGTCATGACCTCGATGTCAGAACCGGTGTCTGTGAGCTGCTGAGCGAAATCACGAATGCTCTGAATGGACATCTTGTTCATTTCTTGCTTGTCCTTTTCGGCTTCTAAAATTTTTACCTGCGTGGAGGTGAGTGCCTTAACTTCTGCCGTTATTTTCTTGCTTTTGTCATCTATAGCTTTCTGCATTTCGGTGTAATCTGACTGTTCTTTTGTTTCATAAGTTTCTAAGTGTTGTTTGACAGTGATCAAATATTTGTCCGTCTGTTGTCGTGCGTCCTTCTCTATTTGTTAATAATAATCTTTAATTTCTCTTCCAATTGTTTTACTGTTTTCTTTTATCTCCTTATTCATAGCTAATTTTTGAGGGTCCACCAAACGAAGAACCTTTGTCTAACTTTCAGTCAGCCTTTCTTCAGTTTCCACAATAATTTTTTCTGCCTTTTGAAAACGAGACAGTTTTTCTGTAGTTAGGCATTTAAGCTTTTCTTGTAGTAGTTCTCGTTGAACTTTCACCACATCCCCTATTTTTTTTAAGTCATGTTTACTGTGAGTTTCCAAAATACAATCTCTCCATGCCACGGTGTCATCCTCTTCACAATAGAATGTCAACAACTCGCCGTCGTGTTTGTCGCAGTATTGAGCCTTATCTAATACGTGGCGTAATTGTTCTCGTATGTTTACTGGGTTAGCTGACGTCGTGATTATCGCAGAACTGAGTTTTATCTAAAACTTGTCGCAATTGTTCTTGCACGCTAGGTGGGTTAACTGAGAAATCGACTTGTGACAGAGGTACAAAATCATGCCCATTTAATGCGGTGATGCTGTCATGCAATTCACGACATGTAGCGCAGAGATGGTTGGTTTTTGGACATCCTTGGCACAGCAAAGTAGCCTCTTTATGCTTACAACAAAAGGTAATTTATGCTTACAACAAAAGGTACGTGTTTGCTGTGGACTTCTACAATACATTGCCTGCATATAATAGTGTCATCATTTTTACAATAGAATGCCAGCGGTTCTCCGTCGTGTTTCTCGCAGTATTGAGCTTTATCTAATACGTGGCGTAATTGTTCTCGTATATTAACTGGGTTAGCTGACGGATCTACTTGTGACAGAGGAACAAACGAATGACCCTCACATGCCGGTATTTTGTCGTGAACATCACGACAAGTTGAACAAATTTGGTTGTGTTTTGGGCATCCTTGGCACATGAAAGTGGCCTCTGCCAACTGATGACAGTATCTTAAAGACTATCAGCTTTTGATATGATCTAAATCACCTGAGGTGACCGAGATCGCGAGGATCGCAACTATTGTCACCGAAGTTAGTAAGTTAGTCACGGAAGACCGTCACAGATAAAGAAAGATAGTCAAGGAGTGCT